ACAAACCAGTTGTCCATTAAAGACTTTTTTGGTAAAAAGAAGTAACTTTGAAAGAGAAACATTGTTTTTTTTAAATTTTTAATGCTTTCCCGCATCTATCGTTTTCCCGCATTCATCGTTTTTATTTCCCACCCCCGCCGAAAACGATGCATCGAGGTTTCACTGTATATTGGTAGGCCTGAAGTAAGCTGCATAGGTATATCTGTCAAATTTTTTATTCACAATCAGTGAAAGTGCCAGTAATAACTTCCTCAGTCATTTCAGGTATTGTATGTATGAGAAAATGTTTTGAGGCTTAAGAGGTAAATATAACTTACTTTTAGGTATCTGTAAGTCCAGAAACATTTCTTTTGGAACACCATGTGTTTGTGTGTCTGTAGAACCTGATCAGTTCTCATTCTTAGTCTACTTCATTTCTACTTATCTATAAGGAAAGACTGTCTGTGTGCCTTACTGTCTCGTCTGTATCTGTATTTTGTCCACAGAGTCCTTTTGTCATTTTTTTATTCCAGAATAAACCAGTTATTTCCCTAAAGAGCATTAGTCCCAGTAGTAACTGTTTGGACCAGAAGATTGAACTGTCATTAACTCTGCATTTAGCTCAGATTTTTTTTATATGATTCCCAAAGTAAATGAAAATTATTTTCTCAAACAGCATTAACAAGCTGGTCTTTGCAGTGAAGAAGTGGTATTATTTTGTATCTTTTCTTCTTCTAGTATGGACTGAATTTCCAAATATTATTTAGATAAACTTCGGCTACAAAGGATTAAAAAGTTGATCTTTATAATGGACAAATTGTGGGTTTTTTAGCTAGGAACAATTTGTAAATACTATTTAGATGAACTTTGTGTTTCAAAGTCTTAAACAGAAAGCTGTCTGATACAGAGAAATAACCAGGGATTCCGTTATAAGCAGGTATTGCTGCATTTTGCACTGTTAATTTATTTTACTAGATACATTGTCCTAAAAATTTGCTAGTTAAAATAATTGATGAGCATGTTGCTTGTTACAGGGCCCTCTTCATAACGTTATTCAAGCATCTTACATTTGTGGGCCAGCGTGCATGTTACCGGACAGCCCTGGAGCTCTGTAGGGTGCTTCTTTCGCTGGATCCTGATGAAGATCCTCTTGGTGTGATCTTATGTGTGGACTTTTATGCACTTCGATCAATGAAATACGAATGGTTGATTTGTGCTTATGAAGAATGGGAGCCAATACGAAATGTGTCACAGCTGCCAAACTTTGCATTTTCCGTGGCAATGGCATATTTCCATTTGGATGAGGATCCTGATTCTGAGAAGAAGCTTACAGCTAATGATCTTTTACAAAAGGCCCTAATTATGTTCCCTGGGGTGATCTTGCCTCTGTTGGAGAAGTGTTCTGTTCAGCCAGATTCCAGGGTATCTACCCATCCCTTTTTCACCACAAAAGCAATAATGAGGTATGGCATAAAGCTGCATGATATCTTGTATTGTCTTCAATTAAAATAATACTGAAGACATTGCATGCTTGAAATATAATTGTAAAACAGGTAAGGTTGTCTCGTATTTATTGTCAACTTTTGTATATTTTATCCGACTTTGGTATTTTGTGAGGAAAACAACCTTGTTAAGTTTGTTCCATCTTGCCACAACATGGAATATCCTCATGTTGTGGATGGAGGAAAGAGCTTCTAGATATGCCAGGTAGCTGCAGATACATAATTGAATAAGCTTGGGTGTTGAGTAGGGGCTAACTTCCTGCTGTAATAAGCCAGCATGTTACAAAATGTAACACAGGGTTTCTCTGGAACAACCTTAAAAAAAGACAGAAGGGAAGGGACCACTTGGGAAGCTAGGCACAGATGGAAGGATAATATTAAGATGGTTTTAGTTAAATACATTGCAGGACATGGATTGTGTTTATCTGGCTCATGATAGGAACAGGTAATGAACCTTTGAATCATGAAAGATGGAATTTCTTGTCTAGCTGACCTCATGTTAGCTTCTCAAGAATGAATCATCTTCATGGAGCTGGTTGATTGGTTGGTTAGAAGATGGCTGTATTCTGGGTTGTAGTGCTGTGTAGTCTGGTAGAAGTTTACCAACGATGAGTGAACTCATCATCCTGATTTTTAGTTTTTGTGTGGCACATTTAGCACATTCTGTAGTAGTGGACATCATGAAAAGAGGGTGATTATTAAACAATAGGATTATTAATTTTTAGTTGCTGCTACATTCACCATACAGAATATAACACTGTAAAATAAGTAGGGTTCAGTTCTTCCGAGAACTACTGATTTGCAGAAGGATTCCCTTATGTTTATGTCCTGTACTTGTGCCTTTGTGCTCTTGCAGTCAGAGTCCAGGATTGAGCCAGCTGATACAGTTGTACGTGTGTCGTAACTACTATCTGTGGAAGGAATCTGGCATGTTGGATTGGCTTGAAAGGAATGTCCATGTGGTGTTGGATCGTGTTGATGAGGGTGATCTGTTTGTTGCTGAGTGTGAGGAGAAGAGGAAGAGATTGTACCAGAAGACTCCACTGAATGTCCTGAGACATATCATTCTCTCTGACATCAAAGAAGTGACAGCCACAGTAACTGATGTAAGCTTTATATTTTTTGCAAGTTTCATAGAAACATTGATTATATTATCTTTATGACCAGCTTTAAGTAAGGTGATTTTTTACCTGAAGGTTTGTAACAGTAATCGATTCACTACATCATAAGTGTGTTAGACATCCATTGTGTGATGTAAATTGATGTATATAATAGAACTATATGTCATATTCATTATGTGGTAACATATCATGTATTTCAGGATTCTGCAGGACCTATTCTAAGTTATGATCCACTTCCACCTCCAGACTCTGTCAACTTGTATGTACGTCCACAACGGCCAAAAATGTATGAACATTCCAGTGCTTTCACCATGTTCTTCAGGTCATTGCTTCCAAACTTTAACATCAATGAACCAGTGCCTGCTGTGGATGGCCTTCAGTTAATGTAAGCTTACAGTTTGCTCTGAACTCCATGACAGGACCTTAACATTTTTAATTGTCTGCTCCATATCCAGTCACTTTTGTAACTTAGCTATCCTGGCTGGTGATTTTTTCCATCCTCCTGTATGCCATTGTTTTTTATTTAATGGTACATAATTTCTGGATTAAGTAGAATTTGAGGTTCTTATGTCACTGAGTCTGCTGATGGCTGTCTAGGGGGTGGTTGTGCAGTGTAGCTTGGTAGAAGTTTTTTGAAGTTTCAGAGGTACTTGCTACCTCCATCATCAGGGTGATAACAGACTACATGACAACAACTCAGAAGACAGCCATCTTCAATCTCTGGATTGTCACTGTACTAGAAAGAGATGAAAGGAAGAAACATTGATGTTACAGGAATGATGCTGGTGGAGGGGGGGAAGCGGAAGGTGCAGTGGCTGCCCGAGTTGACTTGACTCGAAGTGTGACCTCTTTGCTGGATGCAATGAGGGATCTTCTTTCTAATATTCACTTACAGCCTGATGTTCCTAATGATGCTGACATTGATGAAGATTCAGATGATTAGGAGAGAAATAAATGAAGTCACATTTATCATAGTTGATATATGAATAATATTTATGCTTGGTTATTGTATGCATGATTTCTAAGTAATTACAAACTCAATATGGAAACCACAGTTGATATTTACCATGTGAGCTCCTCTTTTCTTTTATCTCTCTTTTTTTCTTTTTCTCTCCCCCTTCTTTCCCTGCTATTCTATGGCAGAGTGTAAATCAAGTACACTAAAACCATGTGGTTCTGTGTTCATTGTTTTGTCACAGTCTGGGGTATACTGATATGAGTAATGATGAATGTTTTGATGCTCAGTAATATATGAGTAGTGTTAACAGTCCTTTGAATTAAAGGATTTTAGATAAATTCTTTGGCAGGACCACATAAAAAATATAATAATAATAATAATGTAGGTTTATTCTAAAAATGACAAGGTGAAAACTTTTTGTACATTAGGAACATGGACTATAAATTTCATTATGTTTCATATACCAGAGTTTCAGTTGATATTTAGGGAGTGATTTGATAAATTGTTACTGGTCTTAGACTTTAAGTGAAGACTGAAATATTAGTGTGACCATGCAAAATATCCCCTCCCCCTCCGACCGTCATACGCATTAGTATATTGGTATTTTGCAGTGCTCTCCAATGTTCAGTATGAGGAACATACAATAAATTTCAGGACTGAAACTTTTTGTTGTACTTGGAATGCAAATTTTTGGAGAAGTCAGAATTATGTTTATAATTAAATAAGAATTTATCCACTGATTACACCTGACACTGGTTCAAGCTGTGTTCATATCTCTACACTGTAATCATTGTAATTCTTGAGGAAATGTGCTGAAAAGTATTTCACTGCTCTGTTTTTTATAAGCAAGATTTACATGCCATTAAGGAAGTCAGTGGGAGGCCAGAAGTTTAAAATGATGAACAGGTTTTGCAGCATGTTTAACATTTCTTGAAGTTGCTTTGGAAATCTTGTATGCAGCTAGGTTTATTAAATTCATACAACAGAAAAATATATGGAATTGGAAGGTATTTATAAAGTAAAATAGAGGCTTTCATACAGCATATTTACAAGGTACAGAACAAAGACAAGTTATGGAATTTCTTGTATGTTCCTTGTAATATTTTGAAACTGTCTACTGGAATATTTGTTTTGATTCATTGGTTGTATGTTTGTGAAGGAATTTGACTGTGACTCAATATTTATGTATTGTTTGCAGTCATGGTACAAAGTGAACATGTATTGCAGAAAAATGTACATATGTGTGTTTTGCCTCTCAAATTGTATTACAGCTTTGTATGAAATTTTGTATGAGAGGTTTATATTTATAGTTATCAGGCAAGTAATATTAGACTTCTTACTTTAAGGATGTAAATTAATTGTTGTTCTGTAGGTAAAAATATGTAACTACACAATAGAGAGTTCTTTATCTTACATATTTTTGATGTAATTTCCTGTTTCAAAGAAATTTCTGGAAGAATGAAACCCTTGCATTCTGACCTATACTCCTTGCACTTTTACTGGATCATGCAGTATGATTTGAAAGATGTCTTATAGTTGGTGAGAATGTCTTTGGATGTTCTCCAGTGTCTGGTTAAAAATAAATATGCATTTTGGAGGCTGTCTCTTTCTCAATCTTCATATAGCCTCCTGTTATTTCCCACATAGGTCTGCAGTCATTTTTGATCTGCTTCAGTGCCTAGTGATGAGTAGCTTTATCAAATGGACACTGTCGAGTTGGAACATTTCCCTGCTGCCTGAAGACAGAAAGAGCCAACCTGCAAAAAATTATTTTTTAATTAATATTAATGGATTTCTGGAGTGGTTTTGTTGATTTTATACTGTCTTGTGTTTGAAATGAAGCATCCAATATCTTCTAGGAGGGATTATTGGTATCATGGGAAGGGTAAATGCTTAAAAGACCCTTTTTTAATGTTTGTTGCATGTAATTATTGAGAAATATCACTCTTATACCTACTATAAGGAACTGTATTAGGCCTACAAAAAAGAAGCTCTTTCCCAGTTTAGTGATTTTGTTTTAACAGGTGAGTGGATACTCAATGATTAAACCTGGCCTATAACTAGGAAAAAGGAAAG